TGTGTGTGTGTGTGTGTGTGTGTGTGTGTGTGTGTGTGTGTGTGTGTGTGTGTGTGTGTATGTGTCCTCCCTTGATGCAACTGCCAGCACATGAAGTAGAGGACAGAAGGTGAGGCCTAATAGAGAGGGTAAATCAAACCATTTAGCCACTTGTAGAGGTGCATGCCTGCAGACACTGAGTTTGAGTCTAGTCTGGTAAAGAACTAGGTTAGGCAGGCCACATAAGTCCTGGGTTTTTTGTTTGTTAGTTTGCTTTGTTGTTGTTGTTTGTTTTGTTTTCCTCTGAGACAAGGTTCCACTGTGAGGTCCTGGCAGTCCTGGAACTCCCTCTGGCCTCAAACTCATAGACATCCTTCTGCCTCTGCTTCTGGGATTTAAGACATGTACCAACTCCCCACCTTCCCGCAAGCCCTGTTTTTAAAAGCCAAGTAAGTAAATAATCACACTTGAGATCATATTTCCAACAAAGAAATGAAAGCAAACAAAACACAGATCCCTGTGCCAAGCATTTTCCAAAGCTCCGCACAGGGAGGGCAGGCACGGCTCAGCTCCGAGACCACGCACAGCTCCATTTTTATTCTCTTATTTATTTTTAATGTTTTTAGATTTATTTTTTATTAACATGAGTGAGTGTTGGGCCTACATAGGCATTTGTGCCCCATGTGCAGTGCATGCCAGGTGCCCAGAGGTTTGAGGAGGGAGTCAGGTTCTCTGGTACTGAAGTTACCAAAGGCTGAGAGCTGTCACGTGGGTGCTGGGAACAGAACCCCCATCCTCTGGAAGAGCAGCCATTGCTCTTTAAGGGCTGAACCATCTCCATAGCCCCCTGGTTCCGTTGTAGGAAAGATCAGGTACTAGATGTTCAGGGACTCCGTAGCAAAGTCCCCATTTTCTGCTGGTAAAGAGCCAGTTTTGTTCAGATTTGATGGCTTTGGTCAAGGACAGTGTCTGTCCTTGGTCCTAAAGCACTGCTGACTGGGTGGAAGGTGAGTCCTTTCTCTCTTGGATAGGAACTCTCTTCCTTTGCTCCTTGCAGCAAGAACTCACTTTGGAAGACTCATTCTGCCTCAGATCCACGTAAGCCTTGCTTCCTAAGCAGCGTAGATAACATGCTCCCTCTCACAGACAGAAGAGTTAAGTCAGAGGTGCCAGGGCCATGTGGCTCAGGGAGGACCAGAACTGGCCTCCAAGTTTCTTCTTAAATCTCCAGCAAGGCTTCCCCATTTGCTATGTGGTCTCAGCTCCACCCTGAAAGCAAGGGCAGAGGTAGAAATTGGGCTGCAGCAGTCACCCCTAAGCTGTGGTCCTAGCTGCTGAACATCAAAGACCGGAGCAGCCACTCCTCATGACCCCAGCGGGGCAAGGGACTGATTGAAGATATAAATGGGCTGCCGAGCTCAGTATCTGGCTCACATGCCGGGTCAGGACAAAGCCCCTGAGGCGTCACTTAGCGCATCACTTCTGAGTGGGCTGCCCACTGGGATTCATTGGTACCAAACTATAAACCTCCACCTCCTTGCAGCTTGAGCGGGGAGTGTAGTGCTCCACACTAGGCTCCTGGCTTGAGAGAGGTGACACACATTTCTAAGACCAGAAGGCCTTTACTCTCCAGTCCCTGAGATAACACAGATGATCCATTCTGTGTTCATAGAGAATGGCCGGCTTGCTTGAGTGTGCATTCACTATCAGAGCTTTGGGACTGAGATATTTCAACATATGTCCTTTTGAGCTTTTGAAATTTTGTTCTATGCGATGTTATTACCTATGCAAAAAATGGATGCAATTACTTTTAAAAATGGCTCTTCTCCGTGTGTTATTTGATTGGTGCGGAAGCTACTCATACAGCTTTAATTGCTGTAATTGTAGCTCAAAGTTCCCTCCATAATTCATCAAGTCAATAAGCCTCTATTATGTATCCAACACTGTAAAGCCATCAAACCAAGTACTTGACCTCTCCCTTCTGAAGTACAATATGCTTTTGAAATCTGGTCTTCATTATCAGCGCCGTGGAGGGCTTGCTTAACTTAACCAAGAATTGTTTGGAAGATTGTCTTCAGTCAGTGGTGTATTCTGGTTCTTGATTGTGAGCTGGGGGTTCCCAGACTTAGCCAAAGTACCTCTTCTTTCTCCAAGGTGGCATCTTCTCCCCAGTCTTGTCTGTTGTCTTCATTGGCAGCATGGAGAACCCAAAGTCTATCAGGGCTGCATCGAAACAACACCATCTTCCATTCCCTTCTCCAGTGAATTTTGGTGAAGGCGTTACCTCCCTTCCCCTTTCCTCCCACTCACCGTGTGGCCCTGGCTCATCTGGCCTTGGGTTCAGACTGGCCTAGAACTCGCTGTATAGCTGCCAATGACCTTGAACGCCTGAGGCTCCTGCCTCTGCTTCCCCGACTGAGAACATCACCTCCAGCTCAATGTCTGTCTCAGGTAATCCTGCGCTCTTCCTCGGGGCTCCCCAGTCTAACAGTGTAGCTCTACCCACTAGCTAATACAACACTCCCGCCTGGGACAACCGCTACTGAGACCCAGCAGGACCATCTGCCCTCCTCTGTCCCCTGTGCCAGCTGTGCAGCTTGGTCTGGTAGGTTTTTCTCTTTACCTGAGTCACTCGCATTCCTGAACTGTACCCTGTTGAACTTGTCTGGCTTGGCTATCGACCCTTCTGTTAGGCTCTTCCTGACCCCACCTGAACAGTTCCCTAAGCCGAAAGCTGCAAGTTGTTGGCCAGACTAACGCTGCATTTTCAACTTTGGGCCACACTCTTCTTGCTTCCTTCTCACTGATCTGAGTGGGAAGCTGACCTGAGGTGCTTACGCAGCCAAAAGCCGCTGACTTTTGCCTCTAGAACGACAAATCTGCTGCTGGGAATCAGAGGAGGGGGACAGTCAAGGCGGAATGGGGGAGGTGAGCAGAGTCATCTGCAATTAGCAGATAATTAGCGCTGCTGACCCTTGGGGCTCATCAGCGCTCCTGGGGCCAGCCCCCAGCAATCAGCCAGGGCAGGTCGAGAGTGTCAGGCCGGGGAATGAATAGGCTCATCAGACGCGCTGGAGCCAGGGAGCCAATCAGGGAAATTAATGGAGAGAGAGAGAGAGAGAGAGAGAGAGAGAGAGAGAGAGAGAGAGAG